CTATGACATACAACTATCTACTGGGGCTTTGGGGGGAAAATAAATAAATAAAATCTTTAAAAAAAAAAAAAGAAATGTTTATTGAAATAAATTCATGGATCTTCTTGATGGAGCCATCCTGTTCTACCAGTGGGTGAAATAGTAGTGATTTTCTTATTGAAGTCTGTGGAGTATCTGGAAGACTTGCTCTCTGTCTGAAGATACTTGATAAGATGAAATAATAAGTATGCTTTCATTTAGTACTGTGATTAGTATGCTATTTGTAAGCCCTAGCAGTGTGGGTAACAATGTTAGTGTGAAATAATTTAACCAGATTCTTCTTACTAAAAATTAGATGAGATCATTTGCTCTAAGGAGAATGAAGTTTTGATTGTATGTGTACATGCAATGATCATCAAACTTTGGTATGAACAGGAATCACCTTATACAGAAGTCGAATTATAATGATGTACACCTGAAATTTATATAATGTTATAAATCAATGTTACCTCAATTAAAAAAAAAAATCACCTGGAGAACATGTTAAGATGCAGATTCCTGGGTTTCATATGCACATATTCTGATTCATTTGGACTGGTAGGTGGCCCAAGAATCTGTATTTTTAGAAAGCATGCCAATGATTATAATATAGCTGGTAGAAACCATACTTTGAGAAGTATTGTTTCCTTCTTTCTGAAGTAGAGGATAAGACAAAGGAGTAATTTTGAACAATGGAGAGAACTGCTTAGTCTGGGACTGAGTGGGGTTCTGTATAGGGGTCTGTAAAAATTGCAGAGTATTATTATATAAAGGAGAATGGACACTTGGGAGATGCTGAAAAAGGGAATCAAGGGGGGCAGGGACTGGAGTGTGCAGAGAGAGGCTTGAAAGATCAATAATGACAACCATGGCTTATTTCACAGTTTTCCCAAGGATTGACTTTCCTTCTTCAATGAGAAAACTTAATATCAGTATTTTTGAAAAATCTGATTATTAGGGTATTTTCATCTTCCTTTAGGAACTACACTCATTTGTCATTCAATAAATAATTTTTTAAGTATTTCAAGATCTCTTGGATATTGAACAATTTAGGTATAGGATAACTTTTGACATTTAGAACAGTATTGTACAATTCCATTTCTGGTTCTATGACAACTAAAATTTTCTAGCATAGAGGAGATGGTAAACTATGCCATATCGAAAACAGAATTTAACTTTATAACAACTGCAAGAAAAAATATTTTCACTTAAATGCCATTTATAAATAGTTTCTATAAAATCTGTAATCCAAGTTGTTAATGTTTTAAAATTTAAGAGCAGTTTAAAGATTTTTGTGAAGATGCTGCATATTTTTAAGTATGGCAAATAACAACCAGAAATAGATGGATAAATATAGATCGTTAAAAAACGCCAAACTTTTAATTTTAGCTTATTGTTTCAGCTTTCTCCTTCATTCAGCCTTATTCAGAGCTGTTAACAATGAACTAATTGGTTGGCTTGAGTTTCTTCTTTTCATCATTTAGTCACCAGTCTCTGGTGGAAATCCTAATGAGATGCAAACCAGGCAAACAAATGGGCCAGTGGGCCGGAAGGGGAGAAGAGGCAGTGGGCATGGAGAGTCTATTGTTCATCCAATCAACTAAATATGTCTTAATTGTAGCAGTAGTGCCATAAATAGGCCTGGCACAAGCCTATTAGTCTGTCTCATTTCATTTCTGTCTGTTTCAGTTGCTCTGCTTCTGCCATCCATATAAGTCTGCGATTTTGATTTGTTCATTTGATGGGAGAGACTTCCCTCTGGTTATCTGTAGTTTGGGAAGATAAATTATCTTGAATAGCTTAATAGAGGTTGAGCTTTGGAGAAACAATGCTGTTCTTATTGCCATTTGTATCTTGTTTTTAACTTTACTTAGTGCAAGACCTGTGCTCTCCGTTGGTTCATGTTAACCTAAACCTCTTTGCTGATTTGTGCTCTCTCGTAGGTTATTCGCAAGGGGTGGCTAACCATCAGCAACATTGGCATCATGAAAGGAGGCTCCAAGGGATATTGGTTCGTCCTTACTGCTGAAAGCTTGTCCTGGTATAAAGATGATGAGGTAAGCTGCAGAGAGTGACAGAGTTTTCTTATTAAAGTGTTTCTAATTTCAAATTAATTGATATTATTGTGATATAAAATTTTGAGACACCAAGTGGTTCTCTTTCAGTAAGACTTAGCTTGGGATGTTTGTTTGAAGAAGCACTGTTTTTTCCTCATAGATTTTTAATTCTACAATATTCCCCTAAAATAATACCTTTTATTTGGTTGGTGTAGTCACACGTTTGTTTACCTGAAGAAAGGGAGTTAGGGGTCAGTAGTTGGAAACTTCCTTCTTTGTAATAATGGCAAGGTACTGATACAGTGAAAGCAATTTTCATTAAATACTGTGTTGAAAGACTCAAGGTAACAGCATCGTAAGAGCGAAATTAATAGCACTGATGCAGAGTTAATAAAGCATTTTGGAATTGTTGCTGTGACATCTGTCTAAAATGAGAGGCTTTTGAAAATGTCCAAATCACTGGTCTTCGAGTGAGTCCCAGATAATTGTTTATTTGAATTTTGTTCCTTGAGAATGTGATATCTATGTAAAAGCATGAATTATGATAATTATGGTGTTCTGGTTCATGTTAGATGTTAATAATTTTGGTCCTGTGACTGACTACTCATTTAAATCTGATAGCTATAAAAGCACAAAAAAATATCATATCAGTCGTGCAGAGCCCTTAAAGTGCTATAAAGTGATATTGCTAGATTGGGGAGGGCATGGATGGAAATTAAACTATGTTCTGGAAATTTTAATAGCTCTGGTCTGAGCCGAGCAGTTTTTGGTGCTTATAATGCAGCATGCAAGCATTAGATAAGAATATTCTGTGATAGCAAAACTCTTTACAGGTGAGATTGTCTCAATTTTTTGGGCTATATAGGGCATGCATTTCAGAATTAAAAGTCCTTCCAGTTTTGGCTTTATATCTTTTGAAAGCTCTACAAGGTGCCTTTGTCCGTTGTTGGAGGAGAAGTTTCATGTCTTATATAGTTCTTTCTATTTCCTAAGTGCTTTGTGCACTATAGTGTGTTGAATAAATATCAGACGATCAGTTGATCGCCACTAAATTTTCTGCGGTAAGGGAAATCACATCCTTTAGAAATGTCCAAAGAAAATTTCTATTCAAAGCTTTATTTTAAATTTTTATGTCAATATTTCACTGACTTCAGTCAAACATGGAATTGGTCATTGTGAGAGTTTGAGGATGAGCAGTGGTTCCTTTCCTGTGCTGGCTGCTGTGCTTCTGTGGGAGCTTCAGGAGCTCTGAGACTCCTTCCTGGATATAACAATCAGTAAACGGGGTATCCTCTTTTGTGTTCAATTGCCCTAAGAGATCTTCTCTTAAATACATTTTGTTTCCAAGGATTTAGATGATCATTCATGTACATTTCAATACATATCAGTCTTGGGGCCTTTCTCAGTTATTCTAAGGAAAGCAAAAGATTTTGCTGAGGAATCATAAAAATAAGAGCTAGTGTTTTTTGTATATTAATTAACTCGTTTAATCCACATTATAACCCTAGCAATAGGTACTATTATTATCCCCGTTTTTCAGATGAGTAAACTTAAAAAAAAAACCTTTTGAAAAGTCGTTTGTATAGGGACTCAGTTTCCCTTATTGCTTAGTGTTGGTGAGGATACCTGACTTCCCAAGGTCACACAGCTAGTTGATGGCAAAGCAGAAATTCGAACCCAGGCTGTCTGTCTCCAGAGCTTACGCTCTCAACCACAAAAGCAGGCAAGACTCCCAGAGATGCTGGATTGTCCCAGTCAACCTCATCCTACAGAGGATTTGTTGAGATGAGTTCCAGGCATCTCAGCATTGACCTTTTCCCACATGTTAGTATCAGGGACTCTGAGGACTCTGGGGCAGCTACTGCCATTGGACTGTGGCTTTAGGGTTCTCTCATTTGGCTGTGTGGGTACTGAAACAAGCCCTTTGGAAGGCACGTGATGCTCCCTGGAGGGAAGGAAGAAGTCTTGAGAGCTTGGGGAGTTCCTGGTTACTGGTCATCCCCTCATCTCCTCTGTAAACTCAGGATAACTTTTTACAAAATCTCTGCTGCTGAAGCTCCCTCACGAGCACTTGATTACAACAAATAGAAAATACATGTGTGCAGTTATAATATTAACTGAGTGCCAGAGAACATTTTATTAAAGGTATGTGTGTGGAGGGTGGTTGGGCGTGGGGGAGGGTAGGAATGAAGCTTGAAATAAATTGGAGTGATTTAGATGAAGGAAGTTTAGGAAAGGTTTGTTTTCTCAGTTTAGACCATTTCAGGAAAGAAAAAATGACAAACAAGTTTGTTACTCTATGGAACTAACAAGTGGACTAATAATACATTATCAAATATTAAGTGTTCTGAAGAATATAAAATAGGGCAATGAGCTAGAAAGTGGTGGGGAAAGGACCTTTAGGTTGAGTGTTTGGGAGCAGGTAACATTGGAGCAGAGACTGGAATGATGGGCTGTGTAGAAGATTTTGTTGAAGAACATTCCAGACAGAGGGAACCATAAATATAACCCCCACTCCCCCCCAGGATGGGAGCCAGCAGAGCACCTGTGGCTGGAATATAGGAGCAGTGAGGAGAGAGGTAGGAAATAACATCAGAAGTACCAACTGGTAGAGCCTTATCAGGCCCCATCAAATGATTTGGATTTTTTTTTTTTTTTTTTTTTTTTTGCTGAGGAAGATTTGCCCTGAGCTAACATCTGTTGCCAGTCTTCCTCTATTTTGTATGTGGGTCACCACCAAAGCACGGCTGACAAGTGGTGTAGGTCCACACCTGGGATCTGAACCCGTGAACACGGGCCACCAAAGTGGAGCACACCGAACTTAACCACTACACCACAGGGCCGGCCCCCCAATGATTTGGATTTTATTTCAAGGGTAATTGAAAACCACTGGAGTGTTCCAACAGGATGTGACATGATTGGATTTATGTTTTAGAAACATCACTCTTGAGCATGATGTGTAGGATGGAATGTATGTGCAGAAGGGGTGAGGTGGCAAGAATAGAAGGGAGACTTCTAGCACTGCAGACCACCTCTGAGCCTGCTGCCGGGCAAAAGGGAGCGGACAGCACTGTTTCTTGTTCTTCGCTAATGTTCAAGAAATAGTTATTAGTGTCTGCTGGGAGCCGAGGCTGGAAGGAGGGTGTGGGGAAAGGAGGTCAAGGAGAAATGTCAGGAGGGTGGGGCTTAAAGGTAGTGATCAGTCTCTGGCCTCTTGAATTTGCACCCTGAACACCATCCTTTAGCAGCAATGTTTTAAATGATGTTTAGAATCCATAAATGTCTCGCTGCCATAGTTCAGCTACATATGGATTAAACATGCTTCTGTAGGTTACCTTGAAAACCCCAAATTTAGAATATTCCTTTTTGAAAAGTAAGGCTGAGTTCTAACTCAGCTTTTGGAGTCAATTTGTTGGTAAGTTGCGTGCTTGTACTTTGTCCCCATGGTAGCTGTCTATACCCACATCAGCACCTACACACTTTGGAAATCCTGTTACATAACAGCTTATCTTTCTTAGTCAAGCAAATGTGACAGTAAATATCATTGTTAGTTATAGATTCATTCATTTATTCAATGATAAATTTATATTCAGATTTTCATAGAGGATTGTCATATTCTTTTCTGTGTTCTGCCATCCTCCTGCTTTCTTGGGTAATTAGACTGGTATATTTTCATTATAATCTAATTGGCTATTGAATAAATAGCATATTATATCATATGAATATATATAGTTTTATTGAACTTATGACAGGTTTGTAATAAATATAAATGACTTATGAAATATATCTGTGATTAAAAAACAATGGCTTAAACTGTTTTCCAGGATGGCATTAATTGAACAAAAGACCCTATAGACCATATGCTTGGTGCAGTGAGTGGAAAGGGTGAGATGCTGGAGGATGTGGATTTGCTGTGACCAACTGCCAGTGTTGGAACCAATCAGTCTTCTCTGAGCCTCAGTCTTTTCACTTACCAAGTGGCGACTATTGCTGACCAAATCACCTCAAAGGGATTTTGTAGGAATCTGAGGAATCATATGTTAATAAGTGTTTTTATCAACTTTGAGGTATCACACATACATGTTATTCTTGCCATGGCAAGTAACACTGTGCCCTCCCACTGAATGTTGTTTGTTTGTTTGTTTGTTTGTTTGTTTTTTGTGTGAGGAAGATTAGCCCTGGGCTAACATCTGTCATCAATCCTCCTCTTTTTGCTGAGGAAGACTGGCCCTGGGCTAACATCCATACCCATCTTCCTCTACTTTATATGGGACGCTGCCGCAGCATGCCTTGACAAGCGGTGCGTCGGTGCGCGCCCGGGATCCAAACCTGCAAACCCTGGGCCGCCGAAGTGGAGCACATGCACTTAACCGCTGTGCCACCGGACCGGCCCCTGAATGTCATTTGTTGATTCACATGTCTTCTAATTTCCAATTCTTCTGTCATTTCATGTTGTGAGATAGGATGTATGGGATCTAGGGCTTTTAGTAGAGAAGGGTAATGTTCAGACACTAAGAGGGAACTCAGATCCCATTCCTTCAGTGAGACTTTCTGTGCTGCCTCCCTTCAGCCTAGGGGTTCTCCTACACCTCAGCCAAGAATTAGTGATCATGACATCAACCATGGGATTTCCTGTCTCAGCTGGCACAGGCAATGGCATGATAACCTGGGTAATAATTTTAAGCTAGAGTTGACATGGCTGTAATAGTAAGTCCCCCAGCATTTTTCCTGCTTCCTCCCCATCCTGAATGGATCTATCCACCCTACCTTTGAGTTTTGGATGGATTCATGGATACCCTCAAGCATCTGTGGACCTGTACCTTTTGAACCATTACTCTACATTACAGTAATGTTATTTGTAATATTACTCATAGATGAGCTTAATAGAAAGGTTTCCACCTGTGTCCCAGGCCATGTTATTTCCACATGTTTTCTTCAAGGAGTCTTAGTAATACAATGTGGTTATGGTAGACATAATTAATCTACCTACTTGACTGTATGTTATCCTCTAACATTACCCTAAGATTGGGGCTTTCTGCAACATGAAAAGAAATAGACCATCTTTTACAGGGTTAAATAGTTTATAACTAATCACCAAGGGGATTTGCCCAAACCTGGCTGTCCCAGATCATGCTCCAGTACCCCAGACTCTCAAGTTTCCTACACAAGTGGCTCTGAGCACATTTCTAGGGGTTGCATGGGCCTCTTCCAGGGTTCATCCTCCCCAGAGCATTCTGCTGGTGTGTCTACCCCAAGTCAAAGGGTAGCTGTTTATGGGGGTGAGGACAGAGCTTGGACATGCAGGCTTATTTGTTCACCTGTATACCCTTGAATCTGAGACAGATGATACTTAGTTGCTTTGATTTCTATCAAAATAATAACGTAAAGATACTTGTAGTACGTATCTTTACTAAGGATTTGGGGAAGCAATACAACAATTCAGACAACCTCAAAGAGACTGTTGGATAACCCTCTGCACAGCAGGTTTTAGCCAGTGGACACCCCACCTGGGTGTGTCACTGGCAGCTTTGGCCTTGTGCTGGCCCAGCCCAAGAACAGTACATTAGCTTCTCTCTTTCTCCTCCCCCTGCCATCTCTCCCCTCAATGCTGTCCCTCTGGATTGCCCCAAACTCAAGGAGCTTCTCACTTTATTACGTACATCTGCTTGGCTCTTCTCAGCATCTAGTCTGGTCTTCACTGCAGGCCCACCTTTGCATATCTAAACTAGTCAAAATGCTCAACCAAACCAAATGGACTTCCAGTTAACAAGATGCTTCCTAGTTAGACAGTAATTGTGGTTGTAAATAGCATCCCCCCCCATTCATTCTGCCTGCTTAAATTTGTGAAGGCCAGCTTTCAATCTGAATGATGATGATCATCATCATAATGGTTAGCATTCATTGAGTATTTGTAGTTTACCAGGCACTGAGTTAAGTCAGCACTTTATTTACATTTTCTTCCATTTCAGAGATGGGGATTGAGACTCAAAGACAATGAGTGATTTAGGCAGCTAAGTGTCAGTGCTGTGCTCTTAATAACCTGGACATTTCTCCACAAATATTTTCTGACCACCTATTATGTACCAGACATTATCCTAGTCACTAAGGATAAAATGGTTAGCAAGGAATTCATGGTACCTGCCCTCATGAAGCATATTTCCCAATAAAGAAAATATGTAAACAAACAGGAAAACCTGTCCAATGCTATGAAGCTATGAAGAAAATAAATCCAGGGATGTGTTTGACTTAAAGAATGTCTAAGATGGGGATCACAGCATGGGGGCACTTGAAACTGGGTGGTCAGAAGTTTGTATCAGTGCCCTGAGGCAAGATTGAGCCTGATGAATTTAAGATACAATTAAGGCCAGTGTGACTGGAACAAAGAGAGAAAAGGACTCTATGAAGATTAAGGATTTTGATCCCGAGAATGATGAGAAGGCTTTGAAGTTTTTAAGCTAGAGAGTCACATAATGAGATTTGAATTTTTTTATAGGTCCTTTTGGTTGCCTTGTGGAGAATGGTTTGGAGGAGGACAAAACTGGATTGGGGAGGTTTTAGAAAACTATTGCTGTGGTCTGCGTAAGAGATAATGGTAGTGTGGGCTGGGGTGGGTTGATGGAAGTGATAGAAATGGATGGATTTAAGGGATTTTTTCAGAAGGTGAAAATTGACATGACAACTCAGTGTACCTGCTGAGTATCGGTTGTGATTAAGTTCTGCTAAACTGTAAGCCTCTTGAGACCAGGAGCCATTGTCTTGTTCACTGTTCTACCGCCAGGGGACACGGCAGTGATAGGTGGTACTTAGTGAATGTCAGTTGAGTGAAGATGTGATTGAGCAAATAAATGAATAACTGCAGTATGTCCTGGTATAATAATTCATCATGTCCTGGTATCTCAAGAATGTAAACTAAATTATTGAATTATAGGATAAAATTATCATTGAAGACAATCTATGTCTTAAAATTTAAAAAATTTTTAAAAATTTTCATCATTAAAGGTTAATGGATTTTTTTCCTCCTCTGACTCTGTAACTTCCTGGATTGAAGATCATTTAAGCAGAAAATAAATGTCCCAATGTTATTTTCATACACTGTAAATATATTTTGCACAGTTCTTGGGAGGGATTTAGAAAAGCGCAAAATGTGGGAATAAACCAGAAACTATCATTTCAAAAGGATTTGGGGTTTAGATAATTTTACGTTAATACTTTAAAATCAGCTTTGGAAAAAAAGTGATGGCCTTTGTTTAAAATTTCTAAAATATGAATTTTAGATGAATAGCATACTCTGATTCAAGGAGAAAACAGTGTTATTTTTCTTAATGTCAGTGGGAAATGTGTAAATGATAGTTAAAATTTCTAAAAGAAAGGGATCTGCTAGTTTATGTATAATAATAGCATATAGCCAATATTTATTCTATTTCTATAGTCCAACGTGAAGATTAAAATCATTATGGGAAACGCATAGGAAAGTAGGGTAACTCAACAGAAGTGTTTCCAATGGAAATGGACTAATCTTACACTATTGAAGAAAGTCCAAAATCTGCATTGAAATAAGGACATTCTTTGGACTCTTAAAAAATTACAGGCCTCATTTTTGTGGGTTGAAGTGTTTGGATAGCTTGATAAAGAGATTATATAATTCCCTTATAAGGATATTTACTTAGTATTGTTTTTGTTATGTAGCTGTAACAGATGACAAATGTAACTTCGATGATAGGAAATAAAACGACAGCTTTCTCCCCTGGCCAAAGTTGTAAGACCAAGAAGTTATAGAAATCTTCAGCTCTTTCCATTTTCACTTGTGCTTTCAAGATTCTGTCTGTTTCCTGCTGAGCCTGCAGGCTCCCTGTGATGAGGAGGTCACGATTGACCCTGTGAACACTAGTCACACTCCTTGCTGGGTTGTTTTAGTTAGCCAAAACTTAGGTATTTTTTACCAAAAAAAAGTCCCAATAGGTATTGAATTTTAATTCATTTATGTTACTTAATATTTTTTGTGATCGTAATTGTGTTTTTTCCACAATTTAAGCTATTTTATGTTATGCTTTTTAATGTAGGATTATTTCATATAAACATTTCCATGTTCTGGCATTATCCAAAGATTTATAATTTTGAAAAATATAGAGTATTATTCAACAAACCATAATGGCAAGTTCTGTTGCAAATTTATTGAAAATACTTATAGACCCAAACCCACCCCGCCATATGTATTCTTTGTCCTACTCAAAAGTTTATTCTGGAAGAACAATATTAGCCTTTATATTAGTCTTTCCTGGAAGAGTAAAAATTTAAAATATACCTCATTTAATGAATTTAAATATATATAACATTCTTTTATGCCTTTTTTTTTTTTTTTTGAGCTAAGTAAAAAAATGTAAGACCAAGATGTTAACCTCATGTTTTAAAGGAAAATTATTTGAAACATTATCCTGGAGTAGCTCACGTAAGGATGACTCCCCTGGCCTCCTAGCTCTCCCTTTGGAGTTTGTTGGAATGGAACAGTCTCCTTTATGTTCTGACCCGGCTATTGTGTCCTCCAAAGAGCTCTCAAGCACCGTCCTGGGACTGCCTTGCAGGGTCCAGTAGAATGATTCATATGTGGACTCCTGTTGGCGGTGTTTGCTGCAGATTATATAAAGCACTTAAAACTGGGTAGTACTATGTAAATATTCTGTGAGACATTTGTACATTGTCTTCTTGTTTATATTTTGTGCATTATTGTTTAGTGCTTTATTTGCAAGTCATGGGACCTTAAGGTAAAAACCTTCATTGCACAATGTGTTTTGCAGAAGATATTTTCGCAGATGATGTATTTCCATAAGGCCAGATTTTTAAATGCAAGAATTTAGCCTTAATCATATTTTTACTTCATAGTTTTGCCTAATTACTTTTTTTTTTAAAGAAACTATAGTGTCAGGTTTGATAAAATATCACAAAATTTTAGGAATTTTTAACCTCGTGGGGCTTTTAGCCTTAAGACTAAATATTTCATTTTAAAAATGAAATCTCTAAATAAAAATAGTTTGCTTTAGCCCAAAATATATACTTGAAATGTTTAATTAAATTAAAAAGCAGAAAATTTTGGGTAGCTTTGTGCTACATTTTTTAAAGCCTGACCAGAATCTTTATAAAAAAGATGAAAATTAATTTTAAATACTGAAGTTAAAATATTTTAGTAAGCCAAATAAAAGTTGACAAATTTCTAATTTTACCCATCTCCTCTCTTTTTACCGTTAAGTGTTTAAAGCATTCATGTACAAAAGCCAGCCTTGATCATTTCACTCCAGTTCACAGTGTGTAAACTGAAGTTTTGACATTTCCTCAAAAGATATGGCAAAATATACATTGCATACTCATTAATTCCTTTCCTTGCTCTTTTTGAAAATAATTGAATTGCTGAACATTTCAAGAGTTTGAAAGTTTACAGTGAATGGGAGCATATATTCCAAGTGAATACGTTGGCCCTATAAATTCTACTCCTAGAACTGTAGTATAGGCCCCTTCTTAAACAATGAAACAGTAATGAATCTATGCATAACGTGACATTTGGAAATATCAAAGCTTCAATTTCAACTTTCTATATATCAAAAGAGGAGAAGCAATTACTTTAACACATTTGAAAATTATGTTGGAAATAAATACTCTTTTCACTATGTTTTACTGGGATCCAACCTAGTAGAGTTTATTAATTCAAAATACATGATCCTCTGGAATATTATCCCTTCCCTCTTTTTCTTTTCTCCCTATCTCTCTCTTAAAAAGTCATAATATAGAAAAACTAAGCTTAGTTTTTGGAGAATTATTAGAATAATTTATTCTTTGTCAAGCATTAGACTGAAGTTATATTGCTTTATTGTATTGATTATGGGGTGCTACAAAGCTGTGTGCAATAAATGTCAAGGGTAGTAATTTACTGACAACAATTAGGAAAAGAGAACTATAGAAAGCACAGGAACATTTTCAGAAATGGGTTTTATTATATTTCATAGGCACCACTCACTTTAATTTTGGTGGGTTTCAATATTTGAATCAAAATAAAATAATAATAATAATACATACGAGTTAAGTATTAAACCAACAGATTAAAACCCCAGGCCCCCGCGCCCCTCATTTTGGTTGTAGCTCTTGGTGTAGATGCTATGGTGTGAGGGCTGCTTTCTTTCAATGGCTGGTTGTCATTCAGGCTGGGTTGTCATGTGACTGCCTGTCTGTGCCTGCTGTACAGGTGAGCGGATGTTCTGCACAGCAAGTGTAGACAGGCAGACACATGACAACTCCGTCCAGCCAGGCCCTTGGTTCCTTCGGGTTTCCTTTGCTCATGGGCAGATAGAATCAGTCTGTTTTCCAGATTTGGTGATTTTGGAGGGTTAGGGGAAAGGGAGAAAAACACACAATAGAATTAAACATTAAAACATTATGGAACTAAAAACAAGTTAGACTTTTGACTTTATTCAGAAAGTACACTTATACATTTGTTCCAAATGTGCTAACAGGGATAACTGATGTAACAGAAAACTCACATTGAAAGTTTAAGGAAAAAACAAAAAAAGATTAAACACAAGGTTTATTCTTAAATCCAATTCGTGTTATTACTGGCCCACATGCAGTCAGAGTTCAGAGTAATTGAACCAGATGTTTTTCCTCTTCACGAAACTCTGCATATTTTAAAACTGAAGTTAAAGATAAAGACTATGTTTATACATGTTTCTTGTAGTAGATAAGTACCATAACCTTGCCCATGAAAAAGCAAGTTGTCATTTACATGGAAACGGCAGCCATTTTCAAAATAATTAATGAGCCTAATGTATTTGGCAATTCAACCAGCTGACACTGGTATCTGATGCTTTGATAGTGGGATTTTACAAGGGGATGTATTTTTACCAATACTTTATTAAGCAACAGGAGTTTAAATTTCTCATATTCTTTTTAATGCAAAGTTTTTAAGTATGGATGTGAAAACCAAATAAAAAGCAGTTGTGAGCCTAAGTTTTCCTCTTAATTAACTCCAGGGCCGTGCCATGAATGTAAAGGGTATACACTAAGAAGTCGATACCCATGGTGATGCGCAGAACGTGTTTTGGACATTGTTAGTGCAATACAGTTACAAAATAGAACTTTAAACACAGAAAAGGAAACTTCATTTCATATCCAAAAAGTAAAACCAGACCCTTTGGAAAATTCCCTTATAATTTGTATAAGAAAGAGTTAATGGTGTTAAATATACAGATAAAAAATTTAATTCAGATGAGTCGAGAATAATTCTACTGGCTATTTGAATATAAATGATCAATTCACGTCCGCAGAGGTGTTGAACAAATTCCCCTGTCATTTAAAAAACAAAATATCCAGACAGTCAAAATTCCAATAAGTGGGATTTCTTAAAAAACAAAACAAAACGTTATTCAAGGAGTGTGTACTTAGGAATTTTTTAAAAGAATTTTAAAGAAAATAAACAGTTTGTTTTTTCCCTTTAATTGTAAAATTCTGAGAAAATAGCAAATAGAAACTTTATGGAGAGTAAAATAGTTTTTAGAAACTGAGAAAAAAATGACAGTTTTCTACGCATCTGAACTTTTATGCAGTGATTAGATATGGTACAGTTTTAACAAAGAGAAGTGCAATTTTCCATTTATTTATTTAATTTCAAGAAAATAAATGTCTGATTCTATTTCTGGTCATCACTTCTGAGTAGAGGACTTTTTTTTTCTTGGCAGAATCAAAAACATCAGTAAACTTGGCTGCTATTTAAATAATTACAAGGTCAGAGTATGCAAAAACAAATACCTTAAGAAACTATTTTGTTATTGTTGCTGCATTCATTGCAACAGAAAACATTTATAGAGTAATTCACTTACAAAGAGTATATTGGTGGAAATTAAAAATTACTATAATTCTGTATAGCTTTCCCTCTCTCTCCCATAAATAATTTGATCCAGTTAACTGCTCAATTAAAGGAATGATGCATGCAACCTGAAAAAATAGAAAGAAATATATGTGAGTTTATATGTTATCCTTTAATATGAAACAGTTCTAAAACCAAGATATCCAAAAATATTTGAGCCTGAAAAACCATAACTGTTTTTCAGGGGGAAAAAAATCTTGCTGAAAAATGATTACTCTACTCATAAGACTTTTGGACGATTTATGTTTCTAATAGATTTTTAAAACACAGTTATAGTAAATACATGGCATATGCACACTTCATAGTTACTTTGAACCTGCCCCTAAGCTTGTTGAAAAGATGAAAGGCTGAAAAAAACATTTAAGACTTTTTTTCTCTCCTAAACTATAGAGTGAACGTTAATTCATTATCACTTAAAATACTAGCTAAAATAGAAAAGAGCTATTTACATTATTATCATACATGTAACTTTTAATGTGGTTATTACATCTTATTTTTTTCTTTTATTTATTATCTTAAGAAAAAAATGCAAGAAAAGGATTATCTTTAGTCTAAGTCTTCTATAGCAAAATTAAACCAAAGCAACTCCAGGAAACTGGCTGTCACGATAAGTCAGGAAATTCAAAATGTAGATTTAATTATTTTCCTTAATTTACTTCATTATTTCTATTTATTAAAACTGATAAAAATTCTTAATGAGACCTTCGAAAAATGGATAAATATTTCAATCTACATAGTTTGCAGCACACCGAGGTAAAAAGGTAGAAGAAACCAAGTAAGAAAGTTGCAATCTTTACTCAGGAATTTCCTGTCTCCTCTTAGGTTAAAGCCTGACCTTCTAGTTATTTTAAGCTGGGGTTTCTGAGTGATGGTCTCTTAGCTGTTACTTAGACATTATTGTGATGGGTGGGATATTCTCCTTAGAGAACAGGAAAGTGGGTTGTTTTTAAAGAGCAGATCTCTTGTAGAATAATTGAAAGCTTTGGCTTCTTTTTAGTAAGGATGGACGCTGGTGAATGAGAGAACTTTTTTACATTTCCAAGTTGTATTTTCCTTCTATTTCCTATAACAGCTTTAAGACTTCAACCAAAAAAAAAAGGAGGGGAAAAATGCTTTCATTAGGAGTTTTAACTTAAACCCTTTCCCACAGAGTGAAAAACTTGGGTGGTCTGTAGGCGTGAGGTGGGGGTAGATAGTATATTTTGGTCTTTTAAAAACATAAACACATTATCTGGCCCCAAAGCCCGAAGGCCAAGGCGGAAGGACATTAAACCTATTGACTAACTGCAAGGCAGTGATCAGTGTGAAATTTTGTCCCGTTGTAAGCAAACTTTCTTTAATTTTGAGATCTATGGCTTAAAAAAAACAGAGGGTTCGAAAATGTAAATAAACTGTTTTATATTGATCCTCTTCCAATTAAGAAATGATGGTGTTGAAGCTGAGGCTCTGAATTTCTTTTCTCTTAGGTGGCGGAAAAAGTTCTCCTTTTAATCCAGTACCTAGACTAATTTATCAATCATCCCTGCAATAAAACGAAAAATAACTACTAAGTTTCTGTGAAGTGCAGTTTGGACAGCCCTGCAAACAATTTTCTCTTTTTGATGATGTATAATGTTTAATTTTAATACTTACACTTCCCATCATATCCAGGGGTAGTTTTAGTTGAAGATGTTCACTGTTGGTTAGTTTCCTCTGGAATAGATCCCATGTTCCCTAAAATATTTGTATATCTCCTTATAAAGTAATATCAAAATAAAATGAAACATTGTTCTAATTACCCTAGAAATAGATAAGGTTATTTTACAAGATGTGTGTGTACACGTTGGTGTATGTACCAGCACGTAAACTACCATCGTGCCTTCAGTCAGCAGAGGTTTAATGAAGCGAGCTTTTACTTTTGATATTTAATTTAGCACATGCAATTTAAAAATAAGTACTATTCCTTTTCATTTGTTAAAAGTTTGCATCAAAAATGGGTTGTCCTCCACCAAGCATGTGCAGGGGCTCCTCAGCTACTCCTTTACAAATTAATTCTTATGTTTCTGCTCCTGTCCTTTCGCCAAGGACACCCCCGGGTTCCCTCTGTCTCCAACTAAAAGTCATCCTGAGGGAGAAAATAGGTGAGGGACCGATGGTGGTTAGTTTCTTTGAAACAAAAAGGCCATTTAATATGAAGAAAGACATTCAAATTAAATATACATGAAATGAGAGCAAGTTACGAAATTGAATAATTTCTACAGAGTAAAAAAACAAAAAACCAAAATTTGAGAAACCTTAAATATTGCCAAAATACCCTATTGCTATCTTTCTTTTTTATTAACTGTGTATCAATTAGTAAAAATGTATTTATTGAAAAAATAAGCTCCCGTAATACCTAATAGTTTTCTTTTAGTTTTGTATGTAAAAGAAACTATATAAATTTTTAAAATCTCACTTGTTCTATTAAAAATAGTTAGTATGGAAGCCTCCAAGTCACAATAGAAAAAAACATGACTTATTGTATCATCTAAGTGGAGAAGAGAGCTAAATTTCTCCTTGCTTTTTATATTTTACCTAAAAACCATGAATAGAAGAGAAAACTTGTATTTTTTTATACCAGTTTTGGGATGATACAAAGGGTAATTTTTAAAATAAATAGTTTTGAAAAAAGACAACTTGAGGAACCTTTTGTAATAAAATGTTTTGCAAAAGAGAACTTGTGACAATTTTTGAATTGTTGCAAAATGTATAATTTTAAAAAGGATTTGTTCAGGAACCACTGTAACTTTAAAGAATTTAAAGGAGGACAAAAGAGATTTACATTCAATTTTCACAAAAGCCTTTAGAACAGATGTTTTCATTATATAGAATTGTTTAGGGGTAGATATAAATGGAGGTTGAGGGAATTAGGGGTAAGGCAGTAATATTTTTCCAGAACTTTCTTTAAGGGATCCACCTCTAAAGTTCAGCATGGATCATATTGCAACCCAGACTTTCTCTATTATTCTCTCTATTGGGATTTCATTCAGCTTGAGGGTTTTCCTCCCTCCCACCTTCCTCCCCCTCTCCCACCCTCCTTCACCTCCAGGACAGCTGGAAACTGACCAAAGAAAACTTTGCCTTCGTTTACAAATTCCTTTTTTATCAGTGAGTTTCTAGACAAAGTACCTTATCATTTTCAATGCTCAGAGAAATAGAAGCATTGTAAAATATAGGCACGAGGGCTCAGCTGACCAGCAATTATCAACCATTCTTGGATTTAAAAAAAAAAAAAAAGTAACACTATATATATTGGGATAGTGAAGACAGAGGTTTCTATTCCTCAATTTATTCAATTGCTGACTCAGTAAGTTCTGAGTTGGCGCTCTTTTCTGGGCAAGTCCCGTCTGCTTTGTCTGGTGGGCAAAAACTTGGCAGCCTCTTATTTTATTGTTAGATACTATTATTCCTGATATTTATATTATATAAATAAAATTTCAGAAAAGCACTATCCATATAACATTTTAAAAACAGCAAGTATTATTTACTTTGGGGAAAATGGATTAAATCCCGGGATGTTAAAAGTTATACCACAGCCCTCATTCAAATAAGTTTTTAGGTCTCTGCATTCTTCATTTCAACAATTCAAAACTAGCATCATTAAGATCCTCTTAAGTGTTTGGAGTCTTTTCATCTTTCATTTTGAAGTGGGAAAAACTTTTAAACTTAAGAAAATACTTGACTTATACATCTTCAGAAATCGAATAACATTTGGTTAATCGCTATATACCACCCCCGTTGTTGCTCTCTTGACGCTAAATGCATAGCTGTCCATCACACATATACCTCTGCCTCGCTCGCATGTGAACGCACATCCTTGGCTCCCCACCCAGGCTCTCCTGGTCGCAGACCAGGTGAGCAGGCAAGAAGGCCTTACCCGCAGGTCTTCCCTGGAGCAGTCCTGTTTCAGCAGTGTCCGAGCGGGCTTCTTCGTCCCTAGTGTGCAAAACCTGTGAAGAAAAACACTGGATATGAGATTTGAAAAAGGAGCTAGCAAATGTCTTCTCCTTGGAAACAGCAACTTTGTCTCCAGCTGTCCATGGCGCTGCTCTCCCTTGCCCAGTCTAACCAATGTGCAGACTACTGTACAACGGCATTGTCCTGAACAGGTAGTCTGAACACTGGGGCGACGGAGCAGGATCTCCAGAAGCTTCCATCTATGTCCTTAAAATCCTCTCCCGGTCTTTGGGAAAAGCCTCCCTTCCTGTACCAGGGGTTGCATTCGGCTTCCCCCCTGAACTCTGCAGCACTGACTGAGACACACTCAAGGGCTGTGATTTCCAGTCTTGACGTGGCACATTTGCTGCGGACTGGGGAACTGGCAATGAATTTAGGACCAGGAAAAGGGGGAGGGCTGGGCTGGAGAGTCCATATATGGGATGATGTCACCCTGGGGAGGTTTGGGTATGCGCTGTGCCGCTGGAGAGACCGCTAGAATCGCCTGCTCTCAGACATGGGTCTGTGCATAAAATGGTACCAGATGTTTTAGTGTAATGTTAAGCAGTCATTTCATCTTCAGGCCAGATTTTTTTCCTCAACTGGGCAGGAAGTGGGCCCCAGTATGGAAAAGCTGTAAAAAAAGAGTCGAGATGTACAGTTCTGCTGTGGCCAACTGAAAGTGAGTTAGTGTAGAAGTACAAATTTGCTGTCCGATCCAGGCTAGAAAAGTAATTTGAAGATAGAGGGTAGATAAAAAAGTAAACAGAAAGTTGAACGCTGGAAGTCAGGGCTCGTTTGGAAACCTTTTTGAGCTTTCCTGTGGTACTTTATTTTCTGGTATTTCACTCGTCAAAAAGGGCAGATAAGTTCATTATTTTTTTCTCTCTTTCCCTCCTCCTCCTTGTCTGTTGGATCTGTCAGCGGCTTGCAGGCTGCTCTAGACTTGAACAGTAATTATAGCAACTTCCTGAAAGTGAAGCCCCCATGAAAAGTCTGGAGAAATGTTCTTTGTCATGGCCTCTACATGAGTAATTAGTTCCACATGTGGCCTTCCTCGTTTCCTTCAGCGATTTTGGCTGGCGCTCTGAGTGCTGTGCTATAGCTTGACCTAAAGAAACTTTAAAGTTTTGATTTCAAGCCTCTGCTATGAAATAATGACTCCAGTCTCTGAACAAATTGCCTCTGGTAGATCCACGCTGTTAGGTACAGCATTGTTTGTCACTGGTAATTCCTGATTCTGTGTTAATACTTCTGTTTTGTTTTAATGGTATTCTTCTGCTTGGTTTTATCTCTGGTTAACTAAATCTGTTGAAATTTGCCAAGTACTGCTTGACTGAAGGTTATAACATATCAGCCCACTGGCATCTACTTTTCCTCTCCTGTTGTTGCTGTTTTCAATGATATATACTGTGGAATATTCTGAGTATACAGCTCTCTGACTTTCCCTCCATAGACTTCTCATTAAAGTTCAGGTTGCCCCAAACAAGAGCTTGATTAATTGCCCTTCCAGAGATCAAAATGTGAGAAAATTCCTAGGTAGCTTCCAAATTTAATTTGAGGAGCCAAACTAAGAAAGTTAGCATTCTTTAAAGAACTACAGCCAAAGCAGTTCTTCTCAGTACTTTTTAGAAGCAGAAAAATCTACCTCTTTTAAGTGTGTTGGGTTGAATATTTCAAAAAGCTTCACGTGAGAACTGTCTTAAAGCATTTGCTTTTCATGACACTTCTGTTGAATTAACATACCATTAAAGGGTTTAAAAGTTATTACAAGCCCTGGTCACCTTGGGAGGAAGATTAAGTCAGATAAAAATGAATTATCCAGCAGTTTAGGATGGAACAAAGAGATTAGCATACATCATTAGGTACATCATTCATAGAGAGATTTAAATCATCCATGGAAATCCGAGGGGTTACTTCATATCACTGTACTTCTGCTTCCATACTTGTGTCTTCAGGGCCTATTCCATAGTGCTCGAGCAAGCCCAGGATGCCTCAACTCCTTTGTTGCCCTGTCACTGCTTGTATAATACTAGAAATATGCAAGTGTGACTACACACAATCTAATAGTCTTATTATATGTGGATATCAACTCTGTCTGTATGTTTATCCACAAATCATCATAGAGGAGCCATGAGCAAGTGGGGACAATAGTCAGCCAGGAATCCAGCATTCCAGGTGTGGGCTTGTTTCTGCCACAAATAGTGAAAGCCTTTCCTCTGCCCTCTTCTATTTATATCGATGAAACATGCCTTGGAAATTTTGGGTAAGGCAGATGAAAGGTGGTTCTGATCAGACTGCTCCATGATTTCATCTTAGTTCACACATCTGTACTTTCTCAAATATAGGAGAGACCCTTTTCTCAAATAGGGGTTTTTATGATGTTTTATTCAAGGAACTCAAATTTATACTTATCTTTACTGCTTTTGAAGCATTTTAAGTGATTTTCTACAGAAACAACTATAAAGTTTGTGTTTCCCTTAGCATGTGTGCCCATCTCATTAGGCTTCCAGTTGACTAAAATGTTTTAGGGTTGTCTTTCCTCCAAATAGTTCAACAAATATTTATTCTAGCCTACTCATGTGCTAGTCACAATACCAGGGACTGGGCATATAAAGATTAAGAAGATAATGATTCTTGCCCTCAAAGAGCTCACACTTAATTGTAATGTTAGGAATGCTCATATGTGATCAAGTTCAATCTAAAAAGTCTGCCATGCCTCTATGGAAAATCCTTGGCATTCATTTGGAAATGGCCTAACGACTTTTTCTATGTCTGTTAAGTTATCATTTAAATACTTGAAATGTGATGGGCTCTAGAAGGCAAAGTTAGACACCACAAAGACTTGCCTTTGAGAACTAATGCTGTTTAACTGGCTTATTTCAAAAGGTATTGAGCCAAGTGATTGTTTGAATCAACGGATGGTTTTGAGTGACTACAAAATTTGCTCTATTTTAAAATGTCATAGAGAGGAAACACTCTTTCTGTTGGTTATCATTCCCAAGCTTGGCAATTTTTATGACTTTAGAAATTCTCAAATTGAAACCAGGACTGAGACTTGTTTCTATGTACTTATTAAAGGAACAGGGTTACTCGTGTTTACAATTAGAGTATTTTGTGACATCTAGATATGAATACTTTGGATAGTATTTGTATAGCTTTAAATTTTTTTGTTACCAGATTAGTGCATGGGCATTATAAAAGTTCAGACAACAGAAACTATGTAAAGCAAAAGTTAATCATCTTCCCCTCCAACCCCCTAACCCTTTCTGCTCTCCCAAATTAATAGTAACAGTTTGGTGTGATTCCTTTTACCATCTTCTCAATGGTCATTTTATAACTTCTTTAGAGGTTACAAAATCTTTTCACATACAATATATCAGTTTCTTATAATAACCTTAATGGGTAGATGTTATCAACATTCCCATTTTATTGATGATGTATTCAAGGCTCAGAGAGGTGAAGCATATTACTTTGTAGAATTACAGTAAATGGCAAAACTCAGCTTTTTTCCTAACTCAAATGCCTGTGCTCAGAAGCATATTGTCAGCCCACAGAGACAAATTTTTTCCCCTACTGAATTCTTATAGCACTTATATTTCCTTATAGCTGTAAAATAGAGGCAACAGAGTCCAGAAAAGTTAACGGATTAACAGATTAATTTGTCAGTTATCTGCTATCTTTTCTTCGTTTTGTACTGAAATATTACCTGTACTATTTATTATTTTACATATTTAGATTTTTCCCCAAAATAGAATATAAGCTAATTGAAGGCGGAGGCGGTATCTTTATACTTTAACTAGCCTATAGTAGGCCATTTGGTAAACTGTTGAAAGAATGAATAAAAGCTACAAAGTATGCATGTAGTTTCTGATCAAAGTTTTATCATGACAATAATTCAAGAATTAAAGCTACCTTATTTTTTATTTTAAATGGAAAACATGGTACAATTTTAACACTAGTATATATGTACTGCAGTTATGTATCAGAGTGCACTATCCTTTCTGAAATAAATATGAACATTGGGCCAGCCATATTTCCTTGCTTATTTTTGGCCTTCTAATCTTCTGGAAGCATCCTGTGTAGCTATGGGTCACAGAATCTTGTGTGAAAAGCAGGATCTAACCAAGTTGTAGTGTTTCCTTTCTTGTTTTCTCCTTCCCAGTTTGTGTTTGAGATAAAAATCTAGTTGACGTCAGTTCATTGCAAATTAGGGAAGATAGCCCCTCTTAGTCTGGCTTTATGTTGTCTGGATTAGCCTCTTTTTTTTACTGGAGGCAATGCAGTCCCCTAATCGCCAGCATTTCCTATTTTGTTGGGGCCCGAAAGGACTAGATTTGTTGTAGCAAAGCTTTCCCCTTTTCCTCCATTCCCAGACTTTCAAACCAATGGCTGCCTTCAGATCACCGCAGCGAAGTGCCTCCTTAGCCAGAGATGTAGCTTCAGAGGCTGTAAAATAGAGGCGACAGAGTCCAGAAAAGTTAACAGATTTTCCTTCAACAACTGAAAAAGAAGTTAAATTAGAACAGCTATAAATCATAAACTTAATGCAGCTGATTTTATAATCATCAGAAAGCTTGCAAAAGGCAAAGATAGTGAGAGTTGATTTTAAAATGCACATTTACTAACGCATGTTTTGTTTTGCCTGTCTCTAGAATTTCCATTACTGAGTCTGTTTATTTAGAAATCAGCTCCTAACCAAAAACAGTATATATTTTATGAACATTCTTTACTCAAATCAATTGAGAAAGATAATGTTACGTCTTTGAGTTTTACTAACCACTGGCGTGCGCAGCAGCCATTTCTGTATTTCAGTAACAAAATACATCCGGCAGACAAACCTTAAAAACTCTGGCTCTACTGAGAACCATTCATATGAAGGTAAATATGTGATTTATGACTCCAGTAAAATTTGAAGCCCTGTCTTGAAATCTTTAGGGGAAGGCAAGATAAAGGGATTGGAAAATTGATGCTGGCCTTTTCAGGCAGATTTTAAGTGAGAGCGTCCTAGGAATGCAGTCTGCTGCCTGCTTCAACCCCCAAAAGCTGCCGAGCATCATCTGAATGCTATGTGCTATGAGCTCCCATTGAATTCCACATTACAATCAGACTTTAAAATGAGCACCGGCTCACTTGGACAGGAGAAATATGGTGTCCTCGGGTCACTGACAATTTTAGAATATTGACTCCTGATGTCTTTTGGCATCACTCATATTTTATTTCCTTAGTGCAACTCAGAAGTGAACATGCATGATATCAA